AGTCAGGGGACAAGGAACGGGGGGAGGGTTGGGGGTTCTGAGGGGGGCGGGAAGTGGGAGGGGCAGGGGCGGGGCTAGGGCGGGGCTCCTCCCGTCCTCTTTTTTGCTTGCTGAAATATGGTAACCCTACTGTTTGCAGAGGGCATTGCCTTGGCAGGGGGAGCACGGGGGGGGGGGCGGGCTCTGTGTGGCACTGAGGATCCTGTTTGGCTGCTGGGTTTTGTGCTGAATCTCCCATGAGAACTGGGACTGGAGGGGAGGGGGAGACTGTACCGTCCTTTGGCCTGCTTTGCAGCGCGGCTTCCTCTGCGCACGCGCTACTAGGCTGAGGGCAGAGGATGGAAACTACAACTCCCAGAAATCCCGGCCGGGCGCGCATGCGCGGCGGAGCCATCTTGCAATCTGAGCCGTAATCAAAGAGCCCCAGTGGCAGGAGGCGCCTCGCGGGCGGTGGGACGTGTCGTGGCGGGTTGCTGCCGCCTCACGGCTGGTCGCGCCCTGCCCTTCCCCGGCCTCGGGCCGCGCGCAGTACGGGCGGGGCCCCGAGCCCAAGCGGGGAGCCGGTGGGGTGGGTCAGGGGTCACCAAGTTGGGGGGCTGTGGGGTCAGGGGGACTCTGGGGTAAGCTTGAGGGGTCCCTGGGACAGACTGAGGGGTCGGGGGTGTTCCCCAAGGGGAGTCAGCCTGTGCGGTCAGGGGGACCCTAAGGTGGGGTCAGGGATCCCTGGTGGCAGTTTGTGAGATTGGGGATCCCCCAGGGTCGGGGACAGCCTGTGGGGTCAGGGATCCCTGGGGGCAGCCTGTGGGGTAAGGGGGATCCTCAAGGTGGGGGGGAGCCTGTGAGGTGAGGGGGTCCCAGTGAACGCCCCCAGGAGATATACTGAGTGAGCAGGGAGGACTCCCCCAGCAGACCTGGGCGTGGGTCTGGGTGGTAGAGAGGAAGATGAGGGAGATCTGTCGGATTTGCGCCCGGGAGCTCTGTGGCAACCAGAGACGCTGGATATTCCACACGGCTGCCAAGCTCAACTTGCAGGTGCTTCTCTCCCATGTCCTGGGCAAGGAGCTCTGCCGAGATGGCAAAGCTGAATTTGCCTGCAGCAAGTGTGCGTTCATGCTGGACCGCATCTACAGGTTTGACACGGTCATCGCTCGCATCGAAGCCCTCTCCATCGAGCGTTTGCAGAAGCTGCTGCTGGAGAAGGATCGCCTCAAGTTTTGCATTGCCAGCATGTATAGGAGGAATAATGAAGACTCTGGTATTGATGACAAAGTTGTTGGGGATGTGACTGTTGACATTTCTGGCCTGCCTGATGTCAGATACACAGCCCTTCTTCAGGAGGACTTTGCCTATTCTGGATTTGAATGCTGGACAGAGCATGAGGAACATATCCCAGAACTGCACAGCTGCCACACTTCGGAGAGCGTGGGTAACCGCCCAAGGCGATGCCGTGGCTGTGCTGCATTACGTGTTGCAGATGCTGACTATGAAGCAATTTGCAGAGTCCCACGAAAGGTGGCTAGGAGTATCTCTTGTGGTCCTTCCACCAGGTGGCCAGCTAGTGTATGCAACGAGGAATCTTCTGTATGTGAACCTATAACTGCTGACTTGGCAAGTGTCAAGGTGCCTGTGGAAGAAGAAAGCATGGAGGAAGGGACTCCTGGGTCCTCTGTTGAATCCTTGGACACAACGGTTAAGGTCAGCCCTCCACGACAGAAGGATGAGGAAGCAGACAAAGGTGTAAAAGGGAGTGAGAAGTGTGATGATTGCTCAGATGCCCGTACCACTCCAAACTCATCATTGTACGGGAATAGGTTGGAGCTAGCCCTTAGCCTGATCAAAGCTTTTGACTACAAGCCTGTTCAGAGTCCCAGAGGGAGCAGGTTACCTATTCCAGTGAAATCCATCCTGCCATATTCCAAGCCTAGCCATGATCTGGTGGATGGAAGTGCTCTTCTTGGCTCAGTGAATGCTGGTTCTGGTTTCCTCAGTGCAGCCACAAAACCCTTTCCCTTGGAGCTTTCTGACCTGCAGGAGCTGTGGGATGATCTCTGTGAAGATTATATGCCACTTCGGGTACAGGTAGAGGTCAATGTGCAACATTAGTTTAAAAAAAATACTGACCCTGAGACCACTGTGGATTCAGATGTGCTGAGATCATATGGATAGCTAAATGTAGCCAAACTCAGGCTAGGAATAGGTAGCTGCCTTTTAACTATTTTAACTGTACCCCCTCTATGCAATCCATTCCTTTTCCATTACCAGGTATTGTCTTCTTGCCGTGTTTTGAAGAAGTGAGCCCTCTGGGTCTTGGTGCCTTCACATCTCTCTCTCTCTCTCTCTCTCTCTCTCTCTCTCTCTCTCTCCTGCTCCTTCCTAAGACTGTATACTAGTGTGGGTTTGAGTTTTAGTTTGCCTCTAGTTTCCTACCAAGCAAATACTGCTACTTTATTTTTCCTTGCTACTCTCTATAACTTGGTTTAAATTTATAAGTTCCACTAAAGGAAATATTGTCAGTTGCCAGAGACCTCTTCTAAGTGCTGATTTCTATTGGCCTTTATAACTGCTTTGTTCTGATGTATCAGGAATCTTCCTCCTCTCAGACAGAGTCCTAAACTATAATCCTCCTTCTAAGGATCAGTCCTCAAATGTACACAGCACACAGGGGTACACTGGTATGTTACCTACAGAGACTGTTGTCTTTGAGATGGATTTGTTTCAGTGGATGATTTTAGGGCTAGCATTCTAGATACTTGGTTTGTCTCCTGATCCTTTAAAAAGTTCAAGTGATTAGTGGCAGATGCCACCAAAGAGCCTGTGATTTGAAGACTCTGCTTTCAGAGGAGTTCCAGGTGTCTTGCCCACTGTGTACATTCCAGTCCACTTATAGCTCTGGATTTTCTCTGTTTTGCCAGGCTTTAAAATCCTGATTAGCATGTGGCCAGAAAACTACACCTGTAACTACTTTACCTCTTTTGTTAATGAATAGAAAGCCTCAGTCAGCTTCAATTCAGGAATATCCATGTCAGTCTAATTGTATTCACATTAGCAGTCTTGCTGTCTAATGTGCCTGCTAGCCTTAGGGACTAGAAAGATGCTTGTTTATTACTATGGCAACTGTAGTCAGTGGATACATTTCCTATTCAGTGGCTGATACTTTTCCTAGTCTGTCATTTTCCAGAGACCTGTACTCTTTCTGCATCAGCTATGATGTGGCTTTATTGACAGGCTAGAAATTGTGCTATGGAGGAACACAAACTGACAAAAGCAATAAATTCACTGCTAATCCACTTGTAGCTCATGATTGAAGATCTGCTGACACCACCTGAAAAACCTCCTAGTGAGGGACAGTGCTGCAGCTTCTGCCCTATCCTACAGTCTCTATATCCCTCACTGCTCATTTTTCATTACTGGGGACATTTGTACAGTATTAAGAATAAGATTTTTTTTTCTTAATGCACATCTTTCAAGAGTGGAACAAACATTAATTTGTATATGGATTTAAATGGCTTGGCTTTCTCTCATGTCTTACTATCTTTGTTACATCTCAGAGTTACTTACAAAGGGTTTTCTAAACGCCAGCCTTTGTCACATGTCTGTTTCTGCAGTGATTCATCATGTTGAATTTGCAACTTCCCATTTCTTACCATGGCAACAAAATGTTATCACCAGCACTCCACAGATTTCAGTGCTGGATCTGGCAGAAGGAGAAAGCTCTTACTCACACTCTAGATGGCTTTAATGCTAGAAATGGAAAGTCAGACAGTTGCCAGCAAAGTAAATAGTTTTTGTATAAATGTTTTTTTTCCCTTCTTTTCCCCAGTAGGAAAACTACTCTTCAAGAGCCAAATATTGCACTCATTCCATTAACATGAAAATCTGCCAATCATAGGAGTTGCGTTGCCCTAAGAAGCTGATAGGCTTCTTGTCTTTGGTCCTTACCTGGAATAGCAATCATTTAAGGTTCATTCATCACAATTAGAATGTCTCAGAGCATTAAGATCTGATAGGCAGATGACTTCTTAGGCCTGGTTGGCACTGGCATTTTCTGCAAAACATCAAAACCGCTTTCAGCCTTGCAGCTCCAGAGGCAGTAGCAAGAATGCTAGCGTAAACTGGCTGCCAGTGTTTTCACCACTGTTCTGTGCAAACCTGCTCTCGGCAGGGTTAGACAACATGATGGTTATGAAAGACAGGTGGGAAGTCTATGCTAATGCTGCTATTGCTGCTGCAGGCCTACTGGTGGGGAGAACTTAGAAAATGCCAATGTAGAAAAAATTCTGGGGCGCAAAGATTCTATTTTTGGTACAGTAGTGTCCCAGTAATGAAGAATTAAGGATGGTAGATCCTAAGTGCCAGGACTTGGCTCTTCTAAGTAGGTCATGGCTCTTTTTTTTTTTTTTTTTTTTTTTTTAATTTTCTAGTGTCAATTTATTCAAAGAATGTAATTGGGGAGGAGGGAGAATTTATGCTTTTCCTTGTGCCTTTTCAGCAGCCTAACTAAAGAGTTACAGTCTGCCTCCTGTAAGATGTGCTAGCAGCAGCCCCTGTCTATGCTCAAGGGCCCCTAGTCAGGCCAGGTTGAACAATGTGCAGGGATGTCAGAGTGCAGAGCTTTATTAAAACCTTACCCGCTGTCCATGGCACTTGTTCAGAAGTGATTGCTCGCCCCATCACTTACAGCATTAAATATGCTGTCAAGCAAGCAAAGGCTCTTGTCCCTGCTGAGAACTAGATCTAGACAAAATTTCAAAGCTCAGCCAAAATGATCTGTTTTAAACCTTTCGACTCTATTATTTGGGGCAGGATGTTAGGCTCTTAAAAATTACAAAAGCAGAAGGACTGAAGAACAAGTGGCCAGTAATTCTTGATTTTCTAACCACTAACTGTAGCTGTGACACAGCAGCTAGCTGATCTCATCTAGCTATGACAGCAGTCAGTGCTTTGGGCCACTCTTAGGTTTTTATTATTCAGATGCAGAGGGCTCCTTGTATTGCTTTCCCAGCAGCCTGACTCTTGTTAACAGCCTCCTCCTAGAATATGGGTCATCTCTGGCTGTCCCAGCTGCCTTAAGGTTCCTTCCCCCTTTTTCTGCTCTTCAGCTCACAGCCCTTGCTGTTCCATCCTTCAGAGGTCATGTGCACTCTCATCAATCTACCAGAGATGTTGGTGCTTAGTATCTCACTGCAACCCAGAGACAGAATGCAGCACTGTCTCTGCAGCTCTTGCTATTTGATTTATTTATATTGCTGTGTATCAGGATCATTGTCCCACCATGCTGTTTGCTGTACAAACACGGTCCAGCCTCCCAGCCCTGAAGAGCTTACATCTGAAACTGGAAAAAATTAAAGGCTTGGGTGGGGAAGGAATATTGCGTCCAAGCAAAGTGGTCAGAGTGGTGCTGGTCTTAGGCTTGTTGGTTCAGTTTTTGTCCCCTTTAGCTTATAGAGGAATGGAGGGAGAGCAAATGAGAGGAGGGGGTGAGGAAATAGGAGCAGAAAAGTGGAAGAGGGGGATGAAAGAAGGGGAAGAGGGTCATGGGGGGGTAGGGTGGGGAGTGGGGAATAGAGGAGGAGGAAGAAGAAGAAGATCAGACGGGACCAAGAAGGTGAGAATGAACGGGGGTGGGGGGAAGCAGGAGCAGGTTGGAACCAAAAATCAGTCAGCAGAGAGAAAACAATACCCAGCGTTCAAAGGCTGAAGAGCAGTGTGCTGCCCTCAGGCATTCAAGGCTTCTCTACGCTTGCTGTTGCTGGGGAAGCACCTGCTCCTTTGAGGGACCCATTTCCTATGGTCATCGGAGAGGAAAACTCAGTGAGATAGAGCTAGTCAAAGTGAGCTGCCATGTGAGCTGTGTGTAGGGGTGTCTGGAGCTGGCTTTGTTGTCTCCTTGCTCCTACTCAAGAAAGTCTGGCCAAGGCATTCTCAAATCTTTAGTGTGTCCTCAGCAGGAAGGCAATAGTGAATTTGGGTGGCAGCTGCATTTTCCCTGAAAATCGTTGTCTACTATTGCTGCTGATACCTGAAAGAGTGCTTCTCACCTTCTAGACAGAGTGGGTCTGAACTCAGCCCCAAAGAGCTTACAGGCCTAATTAGATGTGAAGGAGCGAGACAGTAAGGAGGGCTGATGACAGAAGCGTCAATCAAATTATTATATGATTACCCAGTGATTGCTGGCCACAGCATGCTGCGCTAAGGAAGGTGTGATTCTTTTTCTTTGCTTTCCAAGTAAATTGATGTCTGTCTTGGCTAACTTTTTCAGGCCTAGTGGCAGGAGCAAGTGGGGGGACCTGAACGAGAAGTGTTGGCCTCACAAATCATCTGAGAAAGGGCATTCCATGCATGTTGCGGGAGCAGGCAACGATATTTGTGGATAAAGTAGGACATTGAGGTTGGCATCACTGGGAGTGGAAGGGGCAGCGCAGAAGGAGGTCAGCTAAGTTATGGAGAACTGTGAAGGGTGATTACAAGAATCTGGGCTGGACATTGTGTAGACAGGAGCCAGTTGAGTGATTCAAAGAGGGTGGGAAATAGGTTCCAGTACTGTGGTGAGGAAGGTGATCTTAGCAGCAACATTTTGGATGGACTGAAGGGGGTGATGTGGGTGCCAGGGAGGCCCCTGAGAAGGAGGTTACAATAATAGGGACAGGAGGTAAGGACCTGAACAAGAGTGTTTGCTGTCAGGTTGGACAGAAAAGGTCAGATCCTGATGATGAAGTGTCAGGACTGGCTGGGTGTGACGGCAAGGGAGGAGGCAGCGATTATCCTGCGTTATGGGCTGAGGAACTGGTGGTGGTCTAAAGTGAATGGAGTTTCAAAAGGAAGCTAAGTTCAGCTCTGGCCATGTTAAGCTGACCGCAAGGCACGCGGGAGGGACAGGATTGGAGTAGGGGAAGTAGATTGGTGAGTTGCTGGCTGGAGATGGTAGTTGAAGCTGTATGAACAGATGAAATCACCCAGTGAGAGGGTGTAAAGGGAGAACAGTGGGCCAAGAACAGACCCTTGGGAGGGGAGGAGGAACTGCCAGAAGGTCCCTGAAGGATCAGCCAGACATGTAGCAAGAGAGGGTGGAGGTGCACGTGGCAGGATGTTGAGAAGGCGGCTATAAGGAGCAGATGTTTTGAAATCCACATTAGGAGGACCACCATCACTCTGAATAGAAACCATGCAAGGACTCAGGCCACCCACATCTCTTCTGTCTCTCCAGAATCTGCCTGAGGACCATCAGCAGCTGACTCAGTGTGACCCCGTGGCGAGTGGGCGTGTGTCTGAATCGCATGCTGCTGAGCTGCAGGACAAAATCCAGCAGTACGATGCCACCAACAAGGTATTTGTTCACTGGCTGCACGTTCAGCTCTTTGAGGATTCTCGCTTACCTTAATTAGCAATAGCCATGAAGTATCATTGCAGGCACTGGAAGTTGCCCAAACTGAGGTGGTGCTATTGGCCTTCAACCAGGTTAGGAAGTGCTTCCTTTCCTATAGCTATGCTATGCAACTTCCTTCTTTATGCCAGTTCTAAAGCAGTGTTTGAAAGACCTTCCCCTATGCCAGGGGGCCTCCATAGAGCCATTGGAGGAAAGATGCCTACATCCCCTAGCTCCACCCACTGCCTGCCCCTCCCACTCTGGCTTCTTGGCTGCTGCTTCTCTATGGCAGGGGTGGCCAACCTGAGCCTGAGAAGGAGCCAGAATTTACCAATGTGCATTGCCAAAGAGCCACAGTAACATGTCAGCAGCCCCCCATCAGTTTCCTCCGCCCCCAGTGTCTCCCATCTGCCAGCAGCACCGCTGATCAGCACCTAACCCTCCATCCCTGCGCCTCCTGCCTGCCGCGATCAGCTGTTTTGTAGTGTGCAGGAGGCGCGGGGGGGAAGCAAGGGCATGGCAGACTCAGGGGAAGGGGTGGGGGCCTTGGGGGAAGGAGTGGAGTGGGGCCTGGGACTGGGACAGAGCCAGGGGTTGAGCAGTGAGCACCTTGTAGCACACTGGAAAGTTGGCACCTGTAGCTCCAGCACCGGAGTTGGCGCCTATGCAAGGAGCCGCATATTAACCTCTGAAGAGCCGCATGTTGCTCCGGAGCCACAGGTTGGCCACCCCTGCTCTATGGTGAGCCTTCTGCAGGCAGAGAGGGAAGTTGCCATGGAGGCAGCTGGCCTCCTTTTGGTGTGGGATGAAGGAGGTCAGCCTGCAGAGGGGCCCACCCTGGCATGCTTTTAAAGGGCATGAAGTAAAAATTAGCTGAACAAGAAGATGGCCAGCCTAGTGGCAGGTTAAATGAATACACATGGGAAGGGATAGCTGGTTTTATATATGCCCATTGTAGTGCTGTAAATTAACTGTAACCGATCAGGAAAACACCACAGAGGTCGTTGTGAACAGCTCCATGCAAACTTCTGCTCAGCATGCAGCAGCAGGCAAAATTGCAAAGAGTTTAGCAGTGTTAAGAAAGGGATGGTAAAACCTTGTCTGTTACAGTGCCCTTGTATAAATCAGTTGTTGTCCATAGCTGGAACACTTGAGTTCAGTTTGGCCAGCCACCCTCCGGAAGGATAACTCCGAAATAGAAAAGGTCCAGAGAGCAGCAATGAAAATAATTAGGGGTGTAGAATTAAAAAGACAAGGGCAATTTAGTTTCAAAAGAAGCCAAATAAGAGGTAGCGTGCCAGATATATAAATTAATGAGCAGTATAGAGAAGGTCATTTGGGAGTATTTGAGGACCATTGTGGTATCAAGGTCATTATAGATATTTACCTTCTCATAATAAAAGATGATGTTTAAAAGGCAACATTTAAAACTGATTAAAATAAACACTTTTTTTTAAGCAACTTAATCTGTGGAAGTCACTTCCACATGCCATTATGGAAGCAATTGCTCAGCGGGATTGAGAAAAGATTTATCTTCTATTACACTAGTGAGGATGAAAACATAGGAGGTGCTTTGGCACTCATGTTTCAGGCCATAAACCAGCCTTCCCCTCCAGCCATGATGTTGTAAAACTTCTGTGTGGCAGGGGAAGCCCTAATCAGCACCTGCCACTCCAGCCCCACTCAGGGAAATGGGTTGGGGCTGGGCAACTAGCATGGACTGGCCCCACCTGCCAGCCTTGTTAACAGGGGCTAAATGCTTGGGAGGCAGTGAATCCGGAGGGTGGGGCAGAGACCAGGAGGGGAGAGTAGGCTCAGAAGGAGCCAGGAGCCTGCTACCCTGTTGCCACTGAGGCCTGTGCTAGGCCAAACCTGTAAATACTCTGTAAATAGTTAGAGCTTGGTGGTGGGGACTGGACACAGGAATAAAGAGCATGGTTGTTGCACCAGCTTGAAGTGGTCCTGACACACTGGGGAGCGGGCCCAGGAGGCTGAATGCAGCGGGTTGCAGTGAACACCCCGTTACGTTCCGTTATGTGGATTTCACTATGTTGAAGCCAGGACACTGGGCTGGATGGACCATGCATTTGCTCGAGTATGGTGTTACCTAAATCCAGGCAGTTGCTGCAAGAGTGAGTGGCTGGCTGGATAGTGCTACCTGGAGAAAGGGAGGAAGAGTGTAAATATGTAACGGTAACGCTCTAGCTGTAGTGGGTGAGTTGGAGGGAAAGGAAGTGGTCTCTGGGATATGTGGGTTCCGTTTTGGAGGTTCCAGATCTCCAGGAGTACCATGGGCTGAAGCCTCTCCTACTCTTTTGAAGGGGTTGGAGAAATGAGTAATTGAAACTGGGATTGGCATTAGGCAGCTGAGTGTCGGAGACAGTATCAGACAGAGTAAGCAGGGCTCTCCTGGTGGATGCGCAAGGTGTTGTGATGCATGGGGTCGGAGGCCAGGATTCCAACCCCTCCCTCAGACTGGATCACTGGGGGCTGGAAGCACAGGTGCTGACTTTCCAAAGTGCCGGGGGGTGCTCGACCCCCAGCTCTGCCCCAGGCCCCGCCCCCACTCCACCCTTCCCCGAAGGCTCCACCCCTACCCTGCCTCTTCCAACCCCGGCACCACCCTGCCCCGCCTCTTCCTGCCCAGTTCCATCTCCTCCCCTGAGCGCGCCACGTCCTCGCTCCTCCCCCTCCCTCCCAGCCTCCTGCATGCTGCGAAACAGCTGATTGCGGTGGGCGGGAGGCGCATGGAGAGAGTGGGAGACACTAATCCACAGGGCCCGCCAGCAGTCGGGAGACGCTGGGGTGGTGGGAGGGAGCTGACGGGGGGGGTGCTGCCAGTGGGAGCTCAGCACACACCATTTTTTCCCCATGGGTGCTCCAGACCCAGAGCACCCACAAAGTCGGTGCCTATGGCTGGAAGTTGGCCTCAGCCCCTGTGAAAGAAGGGAAGGCCTTGCATTGCCTTGTCGCTACTCTCTCCACCCAGCTCAAGAGCAGCAGAGCCAGACTTCAGAGGGAGCCACGTTGGTCTTGATCTGGGGAAATAAAGAGGAACCTCTGGGCTCTGTGGACCCAGTATGGTGTGGAGGGATTCTTAGGGGCAATTTGATGAAGTTTGGGGCTTGGTAACTAAACCGTTGTGTTCTCTATGTTCAGTTGCTGCAGGAAAAGCTAAATGAGATGAATTTTGAATTAAAATCTGTCCAGGAAGCATCCCAGAGACAAGATCGTACAATCCAGAGTCTGAACGAGGCCCTGAAGAGCAAAGAAAGTGAGGTAACTAGCACTGTTGAGGGGGGCCGTTGCTGTGCCCTTGTATAGGAAATGTGGATGCAGGGAAGCATGCTATTCTAGCAGCAATTCAGAGGGAACCCTTCAGCCATCCTTGGACCTTGCTCATTTCTCCTGTGACTTGTTTCTGTCAAAGCACGTACAACAGTCAGAGGCAATTTGTGTCCAAGACTCCTGGGGGTGTGGGGCTTGCTAACGGTTGGGTGTCCTATCCCCTATCTTGCAGACAGAGGAGCTGTACCATGTGATTGAAGGGCAGAATGAGACCATGGCCAAACTACGAGACATGTTACATAGAAGCCAGCTTGGACACTTGCAGGTACGTCCCTGTGGGCCCCTCTATCCCCCAGAAATGAGGGGCCTTTGCCTTTAAAAGAAAATTGAAAGGCCTTGGGTCTTTCACTGTCACGGGCTCCTTCACTGTTCTGAACAGCTCTTGTGAGCTCACACTTAAACACACTCACATTTCTGTTCTCCTCTCTTGTCAGACCTCGGACGGTCCATCCCCTTCCCAGCAGCAGCAGCACATGGCACTGCTAGGTCTGCAGAACACGCTCTTCTGCACCCAGCTGGAGATGCAGAAGCTGAAGAGGGCTCAGCGGCAGAAAGAACACCAACTGGCTGAAGCCAGGAGAGCTACCCAGCTTCTAGAGGCTGCTGTGCAGGAGGAACAGCAGCTGAAAGAGGTGTCGTGGAAACATAATCAGGTACGGCATGCTTCAGCAAATGACAGTAAAGTGCAAATGACAGTAAAGTGTTTTTGCATATGAAGACAGCAAACCACTGGCCTTCATAATGCTTCTATTAGCTGAATGCCTTAAGTGGGTCTATTTCCTGTTAGCTTACATTCAACAGTACGTGCACACAATCAGTGCAGAGACTGAATACAGTGGATCAGTAGTGTCACTTACTGGTATGTTTTAACTGGTGCAAATGTCCTGTTTCTTTTTGTGATGCTATACTCCTATTTCTCCAGTGGATTAGCCAGGGTGGACTTGAAAACTTTAAACTTCACCTCTGGCTAGAAGAGGGGATTTAAAAAAAGGTTCCTACATACACAGGAAAAATTGTATCAGTTTTAAAGTTGTACAGTCACCAACAAATTTTCACTTTGCGGAAGTGCAGTTAGGGAATTGAGTGCAGAACCCTAATTCCAGTTGCTTGTCAGTTTCACTACCAAACTTCATGTGATTGGACCCACTCTGATAGTGACTTTCTGAAGAAGTTAAGAGTTAGTTGCTCTGTTCTTGCACTGGGCACAAAATAATACATAGAACTAAAGAAAGAGGCATGTGGCTGGTATTCCGTGTCAAGTGGTCACTTTGGTGAGATGGATGGATTTAGAGTTTAAAAATCACTAAATGTCTCTGTAATTTCAAAGAAGAAGTAATAAATGTTTGAAAGATTGCTTTGGTGGCTGTGCTGTACAAAACTCCTACTCAGCATGTAGGTAAGTAATCAGATGTGTCTATGTGGAGATGTATTAAACTTCATAGCAATGGAGGTAGGGAATAGGAACCCCCCACTTGAGACATACTCAGCCACGGTCCATGCTGACATCTGTCCATGCAGCTGTGAAAACCCTATCTCCATCTACATGTGTGCTACACATGTACTGAGCCTAGCTTCCATAAGCTGAACCACATGAAGATATTCTTCATTGGTGCTCCATCCATATGCTTGCTGAAGGGTTAGCATCCCCTTCTCCTGCGGAAGGAGGTCAGGCTCTCAGTTTTCTGATCTGAATGACAGCAACCTATAACATCTGAATCCTACTGAATCCCTGTTGTCCTCTCCTGCAGCCCAGCCTGCCCTTTACCTTGTGAGATTCAACAGGATAACGTGCATCTGAAGAAGTGGGTTTTTTACCTATGAAAGCTTATGCCCAAATAAATCTGTTAGTCTTTAAGGTGCCACCGGACTCCTCCTTGTTTTTAACAGGATAACAGCAACTCCTGAGGGTGTCTCCGTCTCTGGTGTGACTGACTGACAGGGCTTCCTGTTAAGTGGGCATCTTATGGCAAAGAAGTGAGAAGTGTGTTTTCCTTTCAGGAGCTGCGTAGTGTTGTGCAGCAGGTACAAGCAGAGCTGCAGGGCAAGGTTCAGGAGCTGCGGGCCCTGGAGGGGGAGAGATGCTGTGAGATCCGGGCCCAGGAGCAGCGTGTTCAGCGTTTGAGCCAGAGGCTGGCTCACAAAGAACAGCTTCTGCAGGTGAGGTGAAATGATGTGAATCAAGGATTAGCCTCACCTTGGTATTTGGGTGCCAGCAACCACATGACCAGTGCCTGCCCTCAGAGAGATTGGAGTCTGAGGGCAACCCTCTGGCTACAGCCACAGGGAGGGATCTGTAGCTGTGGCTGATGCCAGTACGACTCAGCCCGAGGTGAGTCCTGACTGGGGAGGGAATCAGACAGATGAACACTGACCTGACCTGTGGACTCTGCCATCCTTTGAGTGTGGGGAGAGGAGAGTGAGCTCAGAGAGAGGTGCTCTGACCTCTGAACTCCCTGCACTGGCTCAGTAACGTTGGTGTCTGTGCTGATGTGTGCTTATGGGGTACCTTCAGGAATCCCGGGAACTTCTGCAACGTCGGCAGAGCTTGGAGAAGAACCCTGCGGTGACTGATGCTATGCTGGAGAAGTTGCAGCAGCGAATCAAAGACCGAGATGCTGCTCTGGAGGTAAGCACAGGACATTCCAGCACAGTCTCCCCCATCCTTTCCCTGGGCTCCTGGGGGGATGGGTAGGCAAAGCATCCCTTGTGCTTTGCTCTCCCTTGCCCGGGTTTGGTATCCCCTGCTCTTCCTTTCCCTGGGGCTGTCCCCACTTCCCCATCCCCATAGAGTGAGCTGAGTTCTCCCACGTAGTGTGAAGTAGGCTGCATGGCAAGAGAATTCAGGATGCTGTCTCTGCACGAGGGAGTGTTTCTCTATGATCGCTTTGTCACCTTTTCTCTCCCTGTAGCGAGCAATAGATGAGAAATTTTGTGCCGTGGAAGAGAAGGAGCAAGAGCTGCGACAGCTCCATCTCTCTGTGAGAGAGCGGGAGCGTGACCTGGAGAGACTGCGCAGCGTCCTGTCCAGCAATGAGGCCACCATTCATGTAAGTGTGATCCCCTCCCCAGCATATTGTCCCCTGTGTAATGCACCTATGTGTAGGGTGACCAGAGCTCCCGGCTCAGCTTGGCACAGCATTCATTCCATTGGTGTGGCCAGCCCTTACGTTGCTGCTTTGGCTGCCTCATTGATTCCGTGGCCAGAAGAGACCACTGTGATCATCTAGTCTGAGCTGCATCAAACAGGCCAGAGACCTGCCCCACAATAATTTTAGAAAAGATCTTGATTTAAAATGGTCAGTGATGGAGAATCTACCACGACCTTTGGGAAATCGTTCCAATGGTTAATTAGCTTCACTGTTAAAGATTTCCACCTTATTTCCAGGCTGAATATGTTTAGCTTCAGTTTCCAGCCATTGGATCGGGTTAGACCTTTCTCGGCTAGGTTGAAGGGCCCATTATTAAATATTTGTTCCCCATGTAGATACTTATAGACTGTGGTCAAGTCACCCCTTAACCATCTCTTAAACTAAATAGATTTCCTTGGGTCTGTCACTATAAGGCATGTTTGCTAATCCTTTATTCATTCTTGTGGCTCTTCTCTGGTGAGTGCTTGCTTAGCATACTACCTGCATACATCCTCATCCCTCCCCACCAGGCAGTTTTCTGATGGCCTCCTGCTTCTGGGGAAGGAAGGGGTTAAACTAATAGTTCCATATGGCATTTCTCAGCTGGATGCTGAGGTGGAAGCTTTCTCTAGGGAGTGAATATAATGGCTGTTTGGGGCTGCACAAAAGGGTAGAAGAGACTGAATAATTTCAATCCTGTTTACTTAAGTGCACAAGAATCTACTTGGGCCTCAGTGTGTTCCTGGTTTTCTCTGTGGTCCCTAGAGCATGGACAGCCTGCTGAAAGCCAAGACGCTGGAACTAGAGCAGGTGTCAGCAACCTGCCAGAACCTCCAGTGGCTGAAAGAGGAAGTCGAGGCAAAATCCAGCTGTTGGCAGAAGGAGCAGGAGGGGATAATACAGCAACTGCAGACCTCTCTGCATGACAGGAACAAGGAAGTGGAAGTAAGGCCCATGCTCCCTGCTGCAGTGCCTCCAGCCATTCCCTCTTGGATGGGATCCCTGAGCACTACTGCCAGGCCTCTGGGCCACTCACTCAATGCCACTGTGCCATCCTGCTCCCCTTGGAGGGGGGGTCAGACCCATTACCCTGATTTGGTGGAGTGTATAGGAGGGGGTGGGGGGCAAACTCATAGCCCTGCTCCTCTTGGTGATCCATTGGCCATTATTTTTGAAAACTCATGGTGATTGGGGGAGGTCCCGGATGACTGGAAAAAGGCTAATGTAGTGCCCATCTTTAAAAAAGGGAAGGAGGAGGATCCGGGGAACTACAGGCCAGTCAGCCTCACCTCAGTCCCTGGAAAAATCATGGAGCAGGTCCTCAAGGAATCAATTCTGAAGCACTTAGAGGAGAGGAAAGTGATCAGGAACAGTCAGCATGAATTCACCAAGGGGAAGTCGTGCCTGACTAACCTAATTGCCTTCTATGATGAGATAACTGGCTCTGTGGATGAGGGGAAAGCAGTGGATGTGTTATTCCTTGACTTTAGCAAAGCTTTTGATACGGTCTCCCACAGTATTCTTGCCGCCAAGTTAAAGAAGTATGGGCTGGATGAATGGACTTTAAGGTGGATAGAAAGCTGGCTAGATCGTCGGGCTCAACGGGTAGTGATCAATGGCTCCATGTCTAGTTGGCAGCCGGTTTCAAGCGGAGTACCCCAAGGGTCGGTCCTGGGGCCGGTTTTGTTTAATATCTTTATTAATGATCTGGAGGATGGTGTGGACTGCACTCTCAGCAAGTTTGCAGATGCCACTAAACTGGGAGGCTTGGTAGATACACTAGAGGGTAGGGATTGGATACAGAGGGACCTAGACAAATTAGAGGATTGGGCCAAAAAAAACCTGATGAGGTTCAACAAGGACAAGTGCAGAGTCCTGCACTTAGGACGGAAGAATCCCATGCACTGCTACAGACTAGGGACCGAATGGCTAGGTAGCAGTTGTGCAGAAAAGGACCTAGGGGCAGGGCCGGCTCCAGGCACCAAGCACCCAAGCTGGTGCTTGGGGCGGCACCTGGAGGTGGGCGGCGCGGCGCTCTGGCTGCCGGGGGGAGAGCCGAGCCGAGCCCCAGCCGGGGCTCGCCGCCCTCTCGCTGCCCTGCCCCCGGCGCTCTGGCCGCGGGGGGGGGGGGGAGA